TTGGTGGCCGTAGGCTCTAATGACGGACAGACCAGACACTGTTTCACCAAAGTGAGAGTAAATGGGGGAGCGAGAAACTGAGTCAAGGCGACGCAGCTGCCGGGAAGTGGCCACGTAGAAGCGCTGGGTGTAGAAATAACAATCAGATAAAATGTCACAGTAATGTGGATCACTTCAAAACACAAACAAGACTTTTATATAAATATTTAAATATTTTCCTGCGTGGTAATTTGCAGCTTACCTGTACAAAGTAGTAGACAATGGCCAGAGGGATGATGATGACGGCGAAAAAGGGAGTGGCCAAACAGATGACAAACAATGTCCCGAGCACAGTCAGGAGACACTGAAGCCAGGAACGTGCCGTCTGAGGAATGACTTCATCTACTGTGAAAATATCCTTGAGGGGAGACACAAATAAAAGCAGTTAAAAAAAGAATCTTAACAACATAGTTCACAAACTGGAGTGGTCTGTGTTCAAGAGGGCCCTGAGCCAGTGCCCACTCAAAAATAGGAGCCTTACAGAACTGGGGTTTTGCGCTGTGATATGGACAAAGTAAAGCATTTCTTTTTAAATTGACATGTCCTCAATGTTTTCAGTGAGCCTCAGTAGCCATAGGATCTCCATGGTAACATGCAGCCTCCCGAAGTAATGAAACCATTTAATGGGCTTGTAAATCTGAGTACGAAGAGTCAGGCAGGCCATTCTAACATACAGTGCTGAATGTTTTTTTTTCTTTGAGAGCAAGGTTTACAAAAACAGGTATCAAGAAATGACACAATATGTTGTGTGAAAATCAAAACAAAAGAAAGTAGCTAAAAATCATTACTACCTTAGCAAATCGGTTAACCACCCTTCCTATTGGTGTTGTATCAAAAAATAGCATGGGTGCTCGCAGGATTTTGGTGAGCAGACTGGAGTGTAAGATACGAGATGCTGCAATGGAGCCATTGGCAATGAGGATCGCACCGATGAACACGAAGACACCTGTTGAGGGGAGAGGTCAATAAAACACCTGAAGACACGACACCACGTTTCTCTACATACAAATAAATACCTAAAATTAAGCAGGAAAGATGGCCATACATTGCACAGTAATTAAAAAAAAAAAGCATAATATGATCCACTCATCCATCCTTAAACCTGGACTGTAGGCAGGTCCGTCAAACATATGGCACATTTTTAGAGATTTGAAGGTTTTTATTGTTGGCTGTGTTTACCCTGAGCCACTCCTAGAGCTCCAAACACTCCTATTCTGGTGTCCCTTTGCCAGATGGGGTACGTCGTGTTTCCATATTTTTCTGCATCATTTGTCCAGTCACTTAGCCACACGTTCTGACCAATAGTTGAAGCCAGCTGTAGAACATAAAACACCAAGGCCAGAATACTATATGTCCAGCCCATGGCCCTCAGGTACTGAAGATACACGGACATTTTCACCTAAACATAAAATACCAATAAGGTCAGAAAAAAACCCCACAGT